GGTAAAACCAATTGAGGCCCTTGGGAATAAGCAAGGTGGGCCTCTGCATTGCATGTAAGAGAGGCCAGAGGAAAAACAGGTGCAATTGCATTGATTGCAAATCTGCATATAAACCAAGACTTTAACACTGCAACAGGAGCTTTAGGCTCTGTGTGCAATATCTTCCCAATGATATCCCAATCTCTTAAAGCCAAAGATCCAGTTTAAGGACATTGCATGTAAGAGAGGCCAGAGGAAAAACAGGTGCAATTGCATTGATTGCATATCTGCATATAAACCAAGACTTTAACACTGCAACAGGAGCTTTAGGCTCTGTGTGCAATATCTTCCCAATGATATCCCAATCTCTTAAAGCCAAAGATCCAGTTTCAGGATACCAAGAGCATTGTCTCTGAATCTCAAAAAGTAATTGAGTTAGGGTCTCAGAAGAAACTGGCCTGCCAGCTTTCTGGGTAATAATCTGAAGTTCCTTTAAATGTTCCTGCAGGGGTAATGCTAGTTTAGCACCCATCTCACCAATGAGGGGTCGCTGAGGGGCCTTTTTGCCAGGCGTTAGTGAGATTGATCCGTAGATAAGCCCCTCGTTAGGGCGCCACTTGTGGTGCTGCTCGTTAGGGTGTGGGGTGCAGGCAATTCAAAGACGACAGGATACAAGCTTGCAGGAACTGTCTGAATGAAAGAAGGAAGGAAGGAACCTCCTCCTCTCACGCAGCAGGTTTATTTATACACCTTTCTTCCCCCTTCTCCCCCCCTCTCCCTCCATAAGGGAGTTACAAGCATTAGAGCATCCTTTTGGAATGTGTGTGTGTGTGTGTGTGTGTTCAAGTTCTCTCAGGCAAGTTCTTATCAGTTGCTCCCCCTCTTCAAGGTTAAACCATCTGCGTAGTGAGCAGTAAACAGATTCCATCTCGGCCTCTCATGACATACAAGCATTTCAGCTCCCAACCTCCAGCCAGGAGAATCCTGGACTGCCCTACACCAGGCCCCATAGGGCTTTAAAGGTCAAAGCCGTAACCTTGAACTGGATGCGGTATTTGATCAGCAGCCCGTGCAGTTGGCACAACACTGGCTGAACGCGCACCTGTGAAGGTGTCGCTGTCGGCAGTTTTATGCAATAAAGGATACAATGGAAGCAGAAATGCTCTAATAGTATTACTTAGGTACTATATTCATAACAAACCAGAGAGGTTGTCGAGGCGTACCTCTTGCCAGGAATTAAATGATCCGATACAGGAAAGCCTCGGGTTTCTTAAGTGCATGGCTATATCCAGGGGTCATTTCGTAGAAAAAGAGGTGCAGGAGCTCATTAGCATAACTCATTAGCATAACTTGTTTGCATATGCCACACACCCTGACATCACCGGAAGTGTGTCAGAAGGCAACACCCACCGCTCAGGCTCCACTGGACTTTTTTGGATTGCTAGCTATTGTGGGGGGGGGGACATGCAGATCTGTCCTCGCAGAGGAGGGAGAGCTTGTACCTGAATAAAACTTGGTCTTAAAGGCACCACTGGACTGTTTTGGCCCGGGGGGGGGGGCTCTGCAACTTACCTGGTGGCTTCTTGCTCTGACTGAGGGCTGCTGGGAGCAGTGGGTGGTGCTTGTTGCATGTGCCCGCCCCCTGGGCTCTTTACTGCCGGAGCTCCGCTCCTGTGCGCTCCTGCAGGAAATGACCCCTGGCTATATCTGAATCAGGCCTGACCAGAGAGGTCACTGGGAAAGGAGTAGGCACCAAATTGCAAATGCCAGATGGAAGATTCTTGGCGTCCCTCCACAAATACACAACAGGCCGGTATGGATGGGGATCCATACCTGCCTGCTGTGTATTTGTGGAGGGACACGGTCAAGCTGGCTTGGAATTGCTGGTTTCCCTGTGCACACAGAAGAATGATGGTTTTGTGTTTTTCTCCCAACAAAAGGGCCTCTGATTGCCAAACCTGACCTTGTATCTTGGCTGGAGGAAGAGAAAGACCTGTTTTTCTGTGGCTGTGAGGAACTGGAAGAACCGACAGGTAGCTGTTTAGATCCGTCGTGGGACTGTGTGGTGCCCGTGCTTCCTTCAAAAGATTTCTGTAGTCTTGGTTATCCTTACATATTGAGCTCCTCCTCAAAATGGCTGAACTGTGAATGCTGAAATGGTACCTGTAGATCTGGAACGTATAAAAACAGGAAAACTTCCTTCGACTAAGTTACACTGTGTATTTCAAGCCAAGGCACATCTTGTCCACTCTGAGAAGCAGTGGCTCTCCGGAAAGGCTGTGTCCCAGTCCTGTTTCTCCTTAGATCCCTATAACTGGAGATGCCAGGCACTGATTCTGGAACCTTGTGCATGTAGTGGAAGCATGTGCTTTACCGTAGAGAAATGAGTCAAAGCAATTACATGAACACAATGTATGCCCTTTCCTCCATTCGCAGAGCCATGCTATAACACTACAGCATACCAGTTCAGCACCCTGCGGAGGAAATCCTTGCTTCTGTGGCATAATTTAAACCCTAACCAGGATTCGTGTCTTCCCATTAACAGCTGATTGCATGTTGTGCAGAAGGGGTCTTAGCACGGGGAGGACTCCACAGCAGATCCCAAGGTAGAGAGAGAGCTAGTGAAATTGAAGGGGAAGCTGGTTTGGCTCAGAGCTCACTCTGATATACAGGTGCTGAGGGAATATCTGCCCTGTTCCTCCTGGTAGTGAAGTCATTCCCTGGGATGGGTTCTCTTTTTGAATGTACGCCTGATACTTTACTTTCCTCCTTCCCATTCCTGATTTCTTCCCATGTGTAATTGCTGAAGAAGAAGCCGATGGGGCTAATTCTTTAGGGCGAACCTGGCTCCTTTATTATACAGGAAGGAGGGGGGAAAGGATGATGGCTTTGTCCCCCAAGTTGTAAGGTGTCTTCATAAGGATAGGAGAGGTTATTCCAGTTATGGTGGAACTTTTGTGAGTCGAACACCACAGGCAGAGAATCCATACTGCATCACTAGAGATCATAAGAACATAAGAGACGCCAATGTTGGATCAGGCCAAAGGCCCATCCAGCCCAACACTCTGTATCACACAGTGGCCAGAAATACCAGTGCCATCAGGAGGTCCACCTGTGGGGCCAGGACATTAGAAGCCCTCCCACTGTTGACCCCCCCCAAGCACCAAGAAGACAGAGCATCACTTGCCCCAGAGCCCCTATCTATACCTTGTGGCTAATAGCCACTGATGGACCTCTGCCAATCATCCAGGGATGAATAAACAATCAGTCTTTGACTTTAATCATTGGCTTGTGTCTATATTTGAGGGCAGCTCTTCTGACTTGCAGTTTGGGTCACACAAGGTTCTCTCTACCAGGGTCTCAGTGAAAGGCAATTCTCTCTTTAATTGCCACAAACTGCAGATCACTCAACACCATCTCGTGTGTCACAGTTGAACGTTCCAACCAAGACTTTTGAAAGTGTGTCGCGACAACATTGCTTGCTGTTTAAGGGTTGATGAAGCAGTTAATTTAGTTCATCCCCTGATTTCAGGCTCTGTTTTTGTGTGTGTGTGTTCATGCCAGATTTCTTTTTCTTTCA